ATTTAATAGCGATCCTCCTATTTTAAACTTGTTGCGGTCACTGGAGTGACAGCACACACCACAATGCCCAGTTTTTTGGGGTCTTTTTTCCTTTAGGATAGGGTCTCACAAACTATTTTGCAAGGGCTGTCCTGGAACCATAATCTTCGCTATTTCAGCCTGTTGCATTATAGCTTGGAATGACAAGCAAATACCACTGTGCCCAGCTCACACTCTGTTTTAATTTGTGGTTCCCAAGAGGCTTTACTATTTAGTCATTTTCCATTCTGTACAGGAGCAGGATCCTTTTGCATATACAGCTGTCCTTAAAACTGTGCCTCAGTTTACCACAATGAAGCAATGTATTTCCTTTCCCTTCCTGAACTGTCCCTACCTTGCTAACTGTGTGTGCTTAGAATTCCATGGAATTAAATTACATATAACCCTATCATGGTTCTCTGGGCATTAGCTCCTGAGGAAGGAGCTTGTGTTTTTCATGGTCTGCACTATTGTGTGCATGTGGGTAAGCCTAGAGCAGCGTGAGAATAATTGGTGGGTTCTGAGTAGGTAAGCCCTAACCCCTGCTTCTTCAGATGCCCAGGAAGGAAACCTGAGGTAGGATTTGAATGTCTGGGCTTTTTCCCTGAGGAGAGTCCCATAGAGACAGTATTATAGGAGTTATAGCTCAAAGGCTTAACTTGAAAAATTATGTCTGACCAGTCACCCCAGAAATCAAACAGAAAAGTAATAATGGAAACAAGAAAATAATTAATCCATATAGCCATATTGGAAAAAAAAAGAGATCAAACATCTCAGCCCATCTTCAGGGCATTAACATGAGCTTTAGGTTTGAATACAGGAAGAATTGGGTCAGGGATAAGAGATCTGAATAGTTAAGCAGTCTTGGTCATTGGACTCTAGTTGGTCACTATTGAAGTTCTGGCTCTGCAAGATAGCTCTGGAGAAACCCTTATTGCTTGAAGGAATAAGGAATTGTGGAATGTCGATGCTTGAGATGATTCTTCCTCCATGGGGGAGATCTCATCATGGGGCTGTGAGGCTTCACTTCATAGAATCTAAGGTCACTGAAGGTTTGTGACAAAGACTGGAGACTTCCAGCAGTCTTTTAGGGGTCTGGAATGAGCCATTGTAAAAGCTGGCAGAAAAGTACCTTACTCACTCTTGTTTTTGTGCCTTCAGTCTTACAGAGGTTGAGATAGGTTAGGTTAAAGGGCTAATTATCCTTGTATCATCAGGTTTTAGACAGACACCCCCTAAGTAATTAACATTCCTATGTGCAGAGCTGAGAAGGAATCTGTCCAAAAATTTTAACATAAGGGAGACAGACACAAAATGAAGGCAGTTTCCAAGCTTTCTCCTGCTTTTAGCTACTCCCTAGGCATTCACAGGCCTAAGTGGAAAGTCAGTACTTTTCAGCAAAGACAACTTCTGAGTCATTGCTATAAAGGGAAGGGAGAAACTGGAGCCTATCTGAGCTCTGTAAGGCGGTATTACAGAGGCCCAGCATTATACAAATAATAGAATGCTTCCAAATGCCTAAGCAGAATAAGCAAGTGCAGAGAAAATCAGACCTGAGGCAGCCAGGGATTGGGAAAGGAGAGTAGGCAAATGAGCGGAAATGCTACATAGGAGAATAGAGTGACATAGCTGAGCACATGGGGAGCATAGAGAAGGGAGAAGTAGGACAAGTGAGGCACTGTACCAAAGAGGCACTCTGGCCTTCACAAATTCAAGAACTGAGAAGTCAGAAGGTAAGCATCTCAAAATGAGAGATGGACATGGTGGCCACAAAGAAGGGGTGGTGGGATTCTAGTGTTAGACATGAGTTTGCATGTCTGGTGTCTGGTTAGACACTCCCTACCTGGAGTGGAGATAAAAGGTACAAACACCAGAATAGCTTTGGGACTGGGTGTTGGGTGTACCATCTCCACAGAGTTGAAAAAGATCAGGACTGGGATTGAGAGAACTCTATGCCTTTATTGTAGAGACACACCTCCCAAAAAGGGTGCAAGAGTGGTGAGAAGGAGCCCGATGTTTGCTGCCATCTTCATCCTCTGTGTGTGGAGAAGGAAGAACAGCATCTATCTGAGGCGGCCACACTTAAGAGTATCTCCTTCCTTCATCAGTTTAGGCCCCAAAGCACACTGAATTACACCAGCTTCTTAGACCAATGGTCTAAATTATAGAGCACACTCTTGTTTTCATCAGGAGACACTAGAAGAATGCTTCCATGTTTTTATTAGATTTCTTATAGGACACCATCCTTAATGTCCAGTGTTCCTTACAGAAAGTTTCCTGTAATAAATCTCTCTCAAAGGTTTGTTTCCCCCTGATAATCTAACATAATTTGTATGAGCTAAATTCTCTCTCAAAGGTGATCACAGCCCTAAGTGAGTTTCCTGGTACAGGACCCTCTCCAGAAATGCTCCCAAAACTCTCAAAAAAGAGTTCCAACATTTCTCATTTATGAATAATTTTTATTAACAAAATGTTCAAAAAATCTTACATATAATGTGATAGGCTGAATATTATCTTCCAAATAAGTTCATATCCTACTCTCCAACCTGTGGATGTCATCTTATATGGTGAAACACAGTTTACAGGTTTGAGTAAGGATCTTGAGATGGGAAAATTATCCTAGATTATCTGCATGAGCCCAGTATAATGACAGTGGTCTTCATGAAAGGAAAAAGAAGGAATCAGCATCAAACAAAAAAGAAAACTGATGACAGAAGCAGAGAGTAAGGTGATATACTTTAAACATGTAGGAGGGAAGTTATGAATAAAGGAATACAGGTGGCACTAAAAGCTAATAAAGACAAAGAAATAGATGTTCCCCTAAGAGTAAACATAAGGAAACAGCCTTGTGGTTACCTTTAGCTGAATGAAATTCATTTCAGACTCTCACCTCAAGAACTGTAAAGGAATAAATCAATTTGTGTTTTCTTAAGCCACCAATATTTGTAGTAATTTTTATGGAAGCAACAGAAAACTAATACATGTTATAAATGCTAAACAAATAATGGTGGTCATTAATTTTAAATTTCTACAACTAGTAAACTGGACATCTTGAGTCTTTTACCTACAGACAGATTAGATTCAAAATCTCAACTCTGCCATCTACAAGAAGGACAATTTAGCTAATCTCATTCTCTGTGTATTTCCTTATCTGTAAAAGGGGGTGGAAATAATTCTTTATAGAGCTCTTGAGCATAAATCTCTCAGCAAATGTTACATGTCCCAACTAAACACAATCTGCAAGTTCTTGAACATTCTATGTTTTTCAAATGTATATTTCTTCTTTCTGTTTCCATTAAAGAAAAAGAGCAATTTTTCCCTTCCTGATAAAAATGAAGTAGAGAGTTGGGATTTAGCTGTCACCACAGTTCTACAGTTTCCGCTTTGGGAAAATCAGTGAAAGGAGTCAAAGTACCTTCCCACTGTGATGTTCACTTATTCTTGATGATGGAGCCCTGGCTAAAAGAAGCCTTCCTCCTTTCCTGGATCAGAAGCCAAGTGAACGAGGTTTGTTCTAGACTCACCATGAGCTATTCAAGAAAATGCAAATCCTCACTTTCAGGTAAAGGGCAGGAATAACTCATCAGTTTCAGGGTATGATTAAAGACTTCATTTCTTAGATGGCAAAGAACAATCGAGCCCTTTAGGCTGATCTCTGCTTTTTGGGTCTCTGATCCTTTAATTGCAATTAAGATGGATTAGTCAAAACAAGCTAATATGATAACCCAAAATCTTAATATTTCAGTATATCAACACAATAATTTTTTTTGGCCACACCATGGTCCACACATACACAGTTCTGGTTAGGACAATATTTTAGGTGAATCTGCTCCAAATAGTAACTTAAGGTCTTGTCTTCTCTCATATTGAAACTCAGCCCTCATCTGGAGCACAAAGTCCTCTCCCAACAATCAATAGGTGCAGAAAGAGTATGCAGGATCATGGGTGAAAGTATTCCATGGACCGAACCTGGAGAAAAGTTCTTCCTTCAGCCCTCAAAGGACTTCAAAGAGAGCTGAGAGATGTGATGTTGCTTGTGCCAAGAATGAAAAGAAACATACTCGTAAGAAAATTGTCATGGCCTGACCTGAGCAGATAGTCGTCCTGGTTTTACAAACCCTCAAATAAGAAATGCCTACAAGGGTGCTCTTACCTTTCATGTACCTTCAGGAGGTGAGCTGAACCCTCTAGGAAAATGAATCTGGAAAACCAATGGTTCCATTTTAGCAGAGCTACTTGTGGGATCAGTACCATAAGGACATGTACAAGTTTGGGTGGTTTAAAGACTCTTTCTCTCCTGACACCCCCCACCACCACCTCTTCTCAGGCATCTTAGGAAATATAGCAATAGCTACCATAGTCCCAAATTCTGCCATGTGTTTTCTGGGTTCTTGGTGCATGTATCTTCATCCTTTAAACTTAATGTTTAAAACTACCTTCACAGAAAACCTTTGTCTATATCCCAGTGCCCATCCTCTTGAGAAAGCAGGGACATCCAGAGTCGTAGAAAGAATTTCACACTCTTGGTTCTGAGGTGGGGGAGAGTCATTTGTACCTGATACATCAATAAACATGGAAAAGTTACCTCCTCGGTCCCTAAATTATTCATTCAGAATCATTTTCCTTGGCAATGGGAAATTCAGGATTAAAAATATCAGAAAAGAGATGTGTCCAAGAATGTATGGTTGAGGATATGTATATGTATATGTAACAAGGGTGGGATCATAGGAATTCTTACAGATACATAAACATCTTAATCTCTTATAGATACCAGACTTTCTCTGAAATGTGCTATGTGGAATGAAGAAAGAAACTATTAGACAATGAATACAATTTTTAAACAAAAGTACAAATAAGTAATCACATATATATTTATGCAAGCATCAGGTTTTTTTCATTTTTCCATGGTGCAGAAGGGAGCTATCCATGTACTCCAACATTTTTAGATTCATAGAATTGTCAGTTTGCCAGTGCCTAAATGATTAAAGCAAGACTTTCAACAGAAAGAAACTAGTCAGAATTGGTGAGAAGATGGGCATCATTGGGGGGGTCCCATTGGTGGCACCTGTACAGTAAGTATGGATTTTGGTGTCTCTCACTACAGTCACATTCCTCAAGTTGCAGGCAGTTTCAGTTGCACAGCCCATTCCAAACAATGATAAGTAAGAAATTCCATTTATAGCCACTGTGAAAAGAAAGATCTATAAGTTAGTTTTATCTCTCACCCTTGGATCAACTTATCTGCTTCCTTTGGGAAAGTAAAAGGTATTCAGAATGCCTCCAGAATACAAGACTTTTGCCTTATGCATGAGAAACCTGAGCTATAGTTCCAGCTTCATGTAGAGGTTAAGCCTTATTTCCCCTCTGAAGAACCTTAAAAGAATACTGCTGCCTTAGATTCAACACTAAGACTGAAGACTCTGAGTATGCAATAGAATGAAGGGAAGGAGGCTAGATATAGGGCCTTGGGTATTTAGCTAAAATCCTCCTATGGTACCTGTCCTTTTCCTTGGCTTTGCTTCCTTGGGGAAACAAAAGGAAAACATTATAGATATTCTTCAAGGGATCTTGCAAGAAAATCCCTTCTTGCAAGGGCTCTGAGTTCCTTGGGAGAATAATGCTGCGAAAATTCATTCATGTCTATACTTCTCATGGTAATCTGGAGTAGAAGACTATCCCATTGTATTCTATGTGACCTTCCATTTTCCTCAGTCATCTCAACTCATCTAGACAATGGACTCTTGCAGGCTAGTCTCAGACCTTCCTTCAAAATCCTCTTAAAAATAAAAGCACAACTTGTCTTCAATCTCATCATTTATTTAGCTCCTAAAATACCACTAATTCCATTAAAGTTTTAATGTTGATTAGAAAAGACTTGCCAATGCCCTCCTCTAGCTGTATAGTACAGAAAGAAAAATACTATAGTTGTTTTTCCAATTCCTATCTGAATATGTGTCATTTCCCACGACTATAAACTTTACGTCTACTCAGGAAAACAAAAAATTTTTTACTAAGTTCAGAGTTACACCATGCAAAAATTTAGTGCTTAATCATGGGGTTTTGGTAATAGCAATAATGGTAGTGATGATAATATGCAGAACTAAATTTTTGCCATCCCCTTCATTGCCAATGAGCCAAGATCCCATTCTGGGACATCATGGCAATGCATGTGCCCCAAACCTCAGTCTCTTTTATGGAAAGCAATTGTGTTCTCATCTCTCCTCCCCTTTCCTCCCTTCTCTTCTCCTCTTCTCTTCTGGAAAATTTCTTTCTCCAAACCTTGCATATATAACCAACCACATGGCCCAGTACCACCCCATTTTCTATATATGAAAGTCAGCCTCTACATGGCCCCCCAATAGCTCTCATCTCCTAGTAATGATGCCATTGGGTAGCTCCCTCCTATGTTGTATCAGGGTTAGTCTGTATGACCAACAGGATACAAGCTGAAATATGTCACTTCTGACATTAGACTATTAAAAATCTACAGTTCTCCCCTCATTCTGTCTCATACCACTTTTTCTGATGGAAAGTAGCTGATAGGTCAAGAGGACACCCAGGCAGCCTATGAAGAGGTTCACATGAAGAGAAATTGAGTTTCACAAAAAACCATGAGATAGCTTGGAAACAGAATCTCCGTCTGAATGACCATAGCCCCAAATGACAATTTGATGGCAAATCTCTTGACACAACCCAGGCCAGAACCATCCAGCAATACAATTCCTAGATTTCTGATTGACAAATGCTCTTAAATAATAAATGTTTGTTGCTTTAAGCTACTAACTTTTGGCATAATTAGTTACACCGTTATCTATGGCTAATATACTTCTTAAAAGGTACTTTAAGAATATAAACACCAAAATGCTTAAGGAAATATTCATACCTGTGCCAATAACCTCAACACATTTTGTCTCTGCTCCTGTGCATTTCAGCAGAACTGAGTCACAGAACATGTCATTCTCAGTATAGCAGGCAGGACATTCAATGCCATTGGGGTTTGAGGGCTTCTGAGACACTGAATGAAAAGAGAAAAGTTTTTATCTTGAGGAATAGGCAGAAAAAAACAGCTAAGAGTATTACTACCATCTCCCCTGCCAATATCATGGTTCTTTCATAATTCCTCTAAAACAATTTTTAACTAGAATGGAATGAAAGGAGAGAAGAGGGAGTAGGTATTAGGTGGGCAAATGTAATCACAGAAATTCACTGTAATTCTCCCATTTAATCAATTATCCCTCCCTGCCTTGGGTAAACAAAAATGCCTAGCTAATGGAAAAGAAAGTAACTTGTGGCCTAAAAAGATGCTGTTAAAAGAGTGAGGATTACTGGGTGCTGGTGGCTCATGCCTATAATCCTAGCTATTCAAGAGGAAGATATCAAGAGGATTGCAGTTCAAAGCCAAATAGTTCATGAGACCCTAACTCAAAAAAACCTTCACAAAAAAGGACTGGTGGAGTGGCTCAATGTGCAAGCCCTGAGTACAAGCCTCAATACCACAAAAAAAAAAGGGTGAGGAATTGGCCAGGTGCAGTGGCACACACCTGTAGTCCCAGCTACTACTACTTGTGTGGCTGAGACAGAGGATTGCTTGAACCCAGGAATTCAAGACCAGCCTGGGAAACATAGCAAGACCCCATCTCAACAAAAACAAGAGTGAGGAATTATAGGAGTAAGGAAAGTCTCAGTTGGAGTGGAAGAGCAAAGAATTTAAATCTACTTAGATTAGAGAAAATCCCCTGGAACAAATCTTGCCAACCAGCTGTCATTCAGTCCCCCAAGCAGGAGAGGGGTTTATAGCTGACCCTGACCTTTCCCAAGGAGAGCTGCAGAGAAAGGGGGACAATAGGCAAGCAAAACCACTGGGCATCTCAGCAGCAGAGAAAGGCACTTACATTGGAAGTCCTGTTTGTTACATTGCTCGGCTTGGCAGCATCGGTGGTCATACACAAAAGTCCGTTCATTCCCCAGTGTTGCTGAGAAGCTCAGTTGAGCACACTTATTTGAAGAACAGCCTTTCTCCTGGATAAAGTCTGAAGACATCCCTGCACGAAATCAAACCCCAAGGAAAACTTTCTTTCTGAGTTATAGAGAGAGCAGTATTCAAATGGCCAGCCAGTATTAAAGGATTCTGTGTCACCTTTCTTTCTCTTTAGTTTTTATACTTCTCCAAAAGAGTTCTTCTACCTGGGCATTGGTGGTACACACCTATAATCCTAGCTTCTTAGGAGGCAGAGATCAGGAAGATCATGATTCGAAGTCAGCTGAGGCAAATAGTTTGTGAGACCCTACCTCAAAAATACCCAACACAAAAAAGGGCTGGTGAAGTGGGTTGTGGTAAAGACCCATGCTGCTTAGCAAGCTTGAGGCCCTAAGTTCAAACCCCAGCACCACCAAAAAAAGAGTACTTCTCTGTTGGTCTGCTTCATAGAACAAACCAATAGAGCAACAATTTGTTAGAAAGGAAATGTCCAGAGGTAGAGCATTTGCCTAGCATATGTGAAATCATGGTTTGATCTCTAGCACCCAAAAAGAAATGCCATTTCCTAATGGCCCCCATGAGGTTGATGTAGGAACCAGGACCACCTACTAGCTCTGCCTCTGAAGTGTCTGCATTTGGCACAGTGCTCCACCCCCACTACCTCCCACCACACTCCGAGCCCCATCCTGGTCAGACATTATGTAAGGAATCCATAAAAGGATAAAAAAGCTACATCAAATTTCTGAGCAAAGCAACCCCCTCACTCTAAATACCTTCTCCATCTTTCCTGAGTGCCTTTAGCACAGGCAGGGTGGCTGATGTGGCTTACCTGATACATAAAATTCCTGCTTGTAGCTGAAGCAGCCTTGAGAAGTTTCACAAGACTGTGAATTAGAATTACATGTTTCATTAAAGCAGTGTGTACATGTATAAGCCCCTACAAAGAAGAAATAAACATTGTTTAAAAAGTAATTCAAGAATGAAAACTATTGAGCAAACATTCCTAGGAATCAAGGTGCTACGAAACTGTCCTTGGAGTGCTGGATGGATCATTTGTCCTACAGTCCAAGAGACGCTATTGCCAACCTCATTCTTCCCATCTTTAGGAGAAAAGGGTCATTTGTTTATTCTTACCCACACTGCCGAAAACAAAGGTGGTAAAGACACATATGATGAAGAGACTCTTCCAGGTGAGGACTGGGGCATGGTGACACCCCCTCACTCTAAATACCTTCTCCATCTTCCTGAGTGCCTTTAGCACAGGCAGGGTGGCTGATGTGGCTTACCTGATACATAAAATTCCTGCTTGTAGCTGAAGCAGCCTTGAGAAGTTTCACACAAGACTGTGAATTAGAATTACATGTTCATTAAGCAGTGTGTACATGTATAAGCCCCTACAAAGAAGAAATAAACATTGTTTAAAAAGTAATTCAAGAATGAAAACTATTGACACAAAACATTCCTAGAATCAAGGTGCTACGAAAACTGTCCTTGGAGTGCTGGATGGATCATTTGTCTACAGTCCAAGACGCTATTGCCAACCTCATTCTTCCCATCTTTAGGAGAAAAGGGTCATTTGTTTTATTCTTACCCACACTGCCGAAAACAAAGGTGGTAAAGACACATATGATGAAGAGACTCTTCCAGGTGGAGGACTGGGGCATGGTGACTCCTATGACACACTGCAAAGAGCCAATTGGGAAAGAAAGGGGTCAGAGCTGTGGTGCTCGGGCTTCAATCTAGCAGTCCCAACACCAAGACCAGTGTTGTCCATTCTTCATTTAGCAAGTGAGAATTTATCAAGCCCTGGCTTTTGTGCCAAATGTAACTTTGGGGGAATCCAAAACGAAAACCATGCTATTTCTGTCATCAAGGTACCCTGTGGAACACAGCCTAACCTTCCCTCAGTAGATTTTCAGGAGGGGTTTTTTCTTTTTGTGTTAGTGTGGAAGGTGTTGGAGCACAAAATCAGACTTCCACAGCTGAATGAGTAACTTGGCCAAGATGTAGAAATCATACTTCTAGAGAGCAAATGGAGGCTCTCCATGTGTTAGAAATGTCTGAGCAAATGTACTCAGGGAAAACAGCCTCTTAGTTTAGAATGGGAATTTATCAGTTCCAGTCATCTTTCCCAGAGCCAGCCTCTAGAACCCAAGTCTCATCAACCCACAATGGAAATGCTCACCGTCAGTATTCTGATGTTCTTTCTGAAGGAGCTGCCTCTATAATGAAGAGGAAAATTTAAAGTTTTCTCACCTAGGGATGAAAGGAAAACTTGGACAAGGTGGCAATGAGACAGACTGTCCCTATCCTCCCTTTTCATTTACTTTTATAGGACCAGCAGTCAAACGACCTAGCACATTAAAGCACTGTATATAGAACTAATCTTGTCACAAGGCAAGTGCACTAACCTCATTTATCTGAATAGCTGTTTTTACCATCTGGCTGTCCAAGGTCAGGGAGTGCAGGGGAGGCTTTTGCAATGCCTGGGCCTCTGTTTGGTGAACTACACAGGAGAGTCTTAAAGGCTCATGCAGAATTCCACATATCCCATATGTAAGTGCTTGGCCCACAGTATGTAGATATCATGTTCACCTGTTTCACCTGAATTCCATTCATTCTTCCAAATAGGCTCTGTCCCTTCCTTTCTCCCTTTCCTCCCCAAGAATCAGACCCCCGAACTGACTTGCATCTCTCCAGAAGAGGAACTGAATGCTTTTCTCTACTCAATTTTCTTTTTCCTTCTTCTCTGATTTTATGACACATTTATTGTTAGGACATAAGCTCTAATCCAATCTACTTGTTTGAAATGGAGAAATAAAGATAAAATAGAGTGATTCTATTTCAATAAACCCTCCACCAAGCATCAAAATCATGATCATAGCAGGTTCCCAAGACATAAGCTGATGGTAGACTTGTCCAGGTGGGACAAGGCGAGCAACATGAGGCTTGAGGAGATGCAATTTGTTATCAACCCTTGCCCAGCCTTGGAAGGTGAGATATGCGGTAGATGATGAGCTTGTTCGAGTTCCTTGGTGTATGAAATCTGAGAGCTTTCATTCGCAAGAACGAAGTGCTGGCTTAAGAGGTCACATTGGATCCTGCCGCGATACCTTACAGAAATAATAGATGAACATAGGATTATGCTATCATGAGACTGTGTCAAGTTATACTTTCTAAATCAATGTCACCGTGATAATGTGCTCATGTGCCGTATTGTGAAATTTTGCTGACCTAGAGTAGAAGGAATCCTAGTCTCTTCCTTGGGAATTTTCCATGAAGCTGTCCCGAAACCTCCTGTCTTTGACCTATCTCCCAGGGTCTGAGTCTTTGCCTAAGCGCTGCATCATTTTTAAGATTTTTTTATCTCCTCCAGCCTAAACCTTTCCTCATTCATTGGATCACGAACTCCTGACAACTTTTGAAGGTAACTAGAGATAAGATGGTTTCGGCAAAGAAGGTGTGAGCCAGGAGGTCAAGATTTACAGCCATAGGCTTAGTTAAGACTTTTCGTTAAATTTCTTACTAAAATTGCTGTCGCTGGAGCACCTGAAGAAATGACCCAGAAACCAGGAATGAGGTCAGTGTGGATAGTGCAGGAGCTTTTTGCTTTTTGTCACTGCTGGTGTAGAGACTGTGTGGTTCCATACCTAAGGAACAGAGCATAGCCATGCTAACCTGGCATCTCTCAACTCTGTGCAACTATCCTACCTCCGCAGGGCATCAGCTTCCTCAGTACAAAGACCCTCCATGCATATATGTGAGCCTCAGAAATGGCTAACCATGGCTGTGATTACGTGAGGTGGGGGAATGAGGCTGCCATAGGGGGCATCTCCGCGGTGAACACCGTTCTGATGTGTGCAAGAGAACAGTTGGCAAGGTTCTCGGTGGGGCTTCTGATAAGGGTCTAGACAGGGAGTCACTGTGCTTTTGAAACTGTATGTGCGTGCAACAGCACTAGTATGAAGGCTTTCCAAATGGAATGGTTTCGCCATCAGGCAGTCTCAAAAGTGGAGCTGTAACCTTTCCTGAAGTGCAAGACTGTGGTCTATTCTTTTGGGGGACCTGAAGAAAACATTCTCTTGTTCTCTGGCTCCATCGTAGCTGAAATAAAAGAGACACGGTTCTCGATGGAGGAGAGGTTGAGTGCTACGGGACCTCGAGGACGTCGATCAGTCCTGCCACCTGGAAACTTCTGAGAAAGATCGAGCTGTTTCTTCACCTCGCTAGCTAAACTGAAAAAGGATACTCTCCGTATGAGGACTCTATCGTCAGGCCCTGGCTCTTTCAACTAGGGACCTAACTATTGGCGGACTTAAAGTTATAGTGTACAGGTGGCGTGGTGTATTTAGCTGCCAGTGATTTATAGGCAAAAATAACCCTGCTAGTTCGTTTGAGACCAGATAGCAGAATTTCTCATATCCAATGTGAAGGTTTTTGGGGCTTCTCTGCCTGGGGCAGCGCTGAAGGGTCTGGCGTTGGGAACACTTGTGGGTGCATGGGGCATCAGGGCCAGATGCAAGAGCTTGGAAGGTGAAGGGAGGAGGAGAAGGAAGAAAACCCAGGTCCAAGTGAGTGTCCTGGGACAGGGGCTACCTGCAGAAGGCCCTTGCCCGCCCTTCCCTCCACGTTGTCCCTTCGCGCCTAAATCTCTGTTATTATCATCAGTCCTCCTTTATGACCCAGGTATATAACATGTTATCCACAGGACAATTACCTCGCATGAGAAACCATAAAAGTCTAGAGTGTTAATGGATGAGTCAGTAAGGTGCAGGGTCATAGACAGGGGAGTGCAGTTTTAACTTTCTGAAAGAGAGGTTTTTTGGTTTGCCTTACGCGACCTGCAGGTGCTCGTGTAGAGAATACACATTGTGATCAGACCCTGTTTTGTAGTCATTGTATGTCATTTTAAGACTTTGACATTGTTCAGTTAATGGCTTGTGACTAATCATGCAGACCTACAATAGTGTAAATCTGCATGTGTATATAAACAATATACATGGATATCTATACCTTGTATATTAGAGATAAAAATCTTTTGTCCTATTTATTACATGTTCAAGGTTTATTGCTCATCATCATTCAAAGTTTGGAATTTTTCCTTTCAAAAGCTCTAATTGTTTTTTTTTTCTTTTATTCATATGTACATACAATGTTTGGGTCATTTCTCCCTCCTTCCCCCTCCCTCTCATTTTCCCCCACCCCTCCCTTTCCCCCACTAGCCTCTGCTACCAGGCAGAAATTATTTTTGCCCTTATCTCTAATTTTGTTGAAGAGAAAAGTATAAGCAATACTAGGAAGACCAAGGGTTTTTGCTAGTTGAGATAAGGATAGCTATACAGGGAGTTACTCACATTGCTTTCCTGTACATATGTATTACATTCTAAATAAATTTCTTCTTGAACTTACCTTTCGTCTAGTTTCTGGTCCCGCTTTTCAAATGCCTCTAATTGTTATATAAATATATCTCTTTTCCGTTCTTCAAGCTTCTATTCAGGTGAGAGTTCTACCTGCTTGCTTTATCTTACATCTCCAGCAAACTAGGTAACTGATGCAGCTGATACCTAGCTGGTCATATTTGTTGGTGAATGATCTTTTTATTTTTAAGAATGGAAATTTTCCATTATTTGAGACTTTTCTAGCTAACTCTTAAAATACATGGGTGGCTCACACCTGTAATCCTAGATACTCAGGAGGCAGAGATCAGGAGGATTGTTGTTCGAGAGCCAGCCAAGGCAAAGAGTTCACAAGACCCTATCTTGAAAAACTATTCACAAAAATAGGGCTGGTGGAGTGGTTTAAGGTGAAAACCATGAGTTCAAGCCCCAGACTCCAGAAAAAATGTGGGAAATGATAGCAGAATTTATCTTTACAAGCTATATTTCTTGATTTAGCTCTTTTTTCTTTAATATATTTTGATATTTCTATGAAAGAAGTATAAAATACAATCATAGGTTCCTGAGTCAATGGGGCATGTGTTACTTTTTTTCTTTTGGCAGTACTGGGGTTTGATCTCAGGTCCTCACACTTCCCATGCAAGTGCTGTACCACACCCACAGCCCTTTTTTTACTTTTGCTATTTTTTTGGATAGGGTCTCACACTTTTTACCTACAGCTAGCCTTGGATTACAATCCTACCTACACCTCTTGCAAAGCACTGACCCCCAGGATGCATGCCACCATGTCTGCATTGTTTGCTGAGATGGAGTCTCACTAACCTTCTGCCAGAGCTGGCCTCAAACTGTGGTCTTCCTGATCCCCACCTCCTGAGTAGCTGAGCTTACAGATGTGAGCCACTATGCCTAACCTGTCGTTATCTTTTTGATGTAAGGTTTTCTCTACATATCTTAACTTTGTAAATGGTATATTTGTATCTTTTTATGATGTAGTGAGTCATGTGTGACCATAAGAGGACACAAAGGAAAGGTTCAGAGAAGCAAACTGTACTATAGTCATAGGTTCTAGAACTGGGGCAGTCCATGCTACATACAGCAGTATGAACATTTAAAGATCAGATAGTTGAAATATTTCAGTGGGCTTTAGGCTATACAGTGGTCCTTAGTTCCTTTTTCCTTAGTACCTGACCCTGGGATGATCAAAGCAGAGAAATACTGTCCCTTTGAGCATGCAGACCAAATAGAGGAAGTATAGCTCTGGAATGGTTAGTTTTCATATCAGACATTTGATATTCAAAGACAGCCCTTTGCTACCTTTAAAACAAATACAGCATTACAAAAAACAGGTAATGCTGACGGGAGGTCACATATGAGAGGGGGAGGATAAATGAAGGAAGTTAAGAAGGTGAATATGGTTGATGTACTCTCTATATAAGAATGAATATAGAATTTTTAAACCAGTTAAAACTGCCATAAAAAAGGGACTAAGGTAGAAAGGAGAAAAATAGAGATGAACCAAATAGGGCTATAATATGCATATACATGGAAGTACCACAAGGAAACTCCCTGTGTAGCTATCTTAAACAAGCAAAAATGCCTTTTTTTTCTTTTTTTTAAATACAAAATTGGAGAACAGGAGGGCGGAACAGGTCCTGCCTGAGGGGGTCAGGAAAGGGTGTAAGAGGGTGCATATGGTGCAAATACTGTATACTCATGTATGTAAATGGAAAATGAGACCTGTTGAAACTATTCCAGGAATGGCAGGGAGAGGAGATAAAGGAGAACAGTGGAGGGGGTGAATTCAAGTATGACGTATTTGATACATTGTAAGAACTTTTGTAAATGCCACAATGTATCCCCAGCACTACAATAAAATAATAAAAATAAAATATAGAAAAACAAACCAAAAAGAGCTAGCTCACCTGAGAGGGGAAGTGTCTCCAAGACCAAAGAGATACTTTATTTTGTTTCTTTTCTACTATGCCAAACATCATAATATATGAAAATTTATATATATTTACATATATATGTATGATATGTATATTTTTTTCAGTACATAGTACCTGCACTAGGTCACTACAGAAGCAAAATAAGTCACCAGTTTCCCAAAGAGTGGTCAAAGCAAAGAATTCTACCCCACAGCCTTCTCCAGCCTGAACTTAGAAGGCACCCACATCCTCATAGCTGGTTTCTCACCTGGCAGAGCAAACACACATATCTAAAGTCGCCATCTCTTTCATTAGAGTCTGGCAAACATAATCAGGCAGATGTCACCCAATTCCTGACAGAACTCAAAAGACCTCAGTACTACATGGAAAAGACCTCCTTACACAGAGGTATAACATGCAGAATCAACACACACACCCCAACATGCACACTCCAACTCACACATTTACACACATATACATGATCTTAAGATGAAAAGGATGGGAGGACTTGGACAGACATTTTGAAACAGGAAAACATTACAAACAAGAACACATAGTGAAATAAAGAGGTGTAAAAATAAGATGTTAATCCACATATAACGATGTATGAATGTAATCTCAGCTACTTGAGAGACAGAGATGGGGATGGTGGAGGTTCAAGTTCAGCCCAGGAAAAAAGTTAGTGAACCCCTATCTCAACAAGTAGGACTGGTGTGATGGCACAAGCTGATGGTTCCAGTTATACAGGGAGTCATAGAAAGGATTGTAGACTAAGGCCAGCCCCTGGCAAAAGCAAGTCCCTATCTAAAAGCAAAACGGACTGGAAGTATGGCTCAGGTAGTACAGTGCCTGCCTAGCAAGGCTCTGAGCTCAAACAACAGTACTGGACAGAAAAAAAAATTAGATGTTAAAAATAATATGTAGGAGACTTTTAATGTTTTCACTACAAAGAAATGACAACTGTTTGAGGAAATAGATATGTTTACCAATTTTAACATATTGGTATATTGAAATACCACATACTTCATAAATATGTACAACTTTAGAAGGTCAGTACTGAAGTGGGATCAAAGAAATGAACTGAATCACAGGTTCCTAAAAGATCTAATTGTATAGCACAAATGTCAGCAGCTCAGTGCAGCCACACTTGCACTTCTAGACTGACACTTAAGACCTAACCAAAAAGAGTGGATATTTTTTCAAGTCTGAGAGTCACATTTTAATCCTGATGACAAGTTTGAATCTGTAGGCTCTGTTTTCATGAATCTAAAGATCAAAGAACCACCTTCCAGACACCAAAGACTCGAGATTCAGAGTTTGTCAGAGCTGGCGAGTGGCTCAAGTGGTAGAGCGCCTGCCTAGCAAGCATGAGGGCCTGAGTTGAGCCCTCCTAACAACAATAAAAAAATGGGCTCACTGTATTTGTCTGCCTATCTATTTTGATCACTTGGTCTGCATCCACTGTGAGCAGTGTAAAATGAAAAGGAATTACAAACTATAAAACTTAGTATGTTCTCTAAAGCTACATCCAAGGATTAGGAAACTAGGGGCACACAGAGGGTGAGGGTGAGATTTTCCAACATTAAGACTGCTCCACCAGAGTGAAATATCAGCCCTCATGACTGCTAACATTTCAATGCAAATTTGAGGGCATCCGGTGGAAACTCCCTC